GCAAAACCTTAACATAGTCTAGTAATTGTAAAATATATATCAATTCGGGGTCGTTCCACAAGCCACAAACGACTGTAGCAACATGAACAGAAAAAACAAAAGAAAAATAAATTACATTAAATTAAAAAAAAAAAAATTGTCTTATTTGTGAGGCCTGAGAGTATGCAAGGTATGCAGACTCGTGTACAGGGTATGCTGTGCCAACTTTCTGGCAACGCTGGCCAACAGCTGTTAAATTCGGCGCAGGACAAACAGGCGCTGGAGCTTGAGTAAGATAGAGAGGGAAAGGGGGGCGAGAGAGAGCGCGCGGTCTGCGGGTTAAAGAGCGCAGAATTTTTCAGCAGTGCGGACGTTCAGCAACGGCGCTGCAGCTTTAATTAAAAACAGAACGAATGAAAAAAAAAAAAAACTATATACAAAAGAAACGCTACTTAACAACTGTTAATTTGAGTTAGTTTATCGTAAACATTTCAGTGGCTTGGTTGCATTTGGCAGGCAGTACCGTTACAAGCGCACCTAACCTCAAAGAAAAGGACTGCTCAAGATTTGGATTAAAAATTCAAGAGCAACCATTTTGCAGCAATAATAAATTGCATAAATGTAATGCATGTCGCCTGATTCTACATCAATTCAAGGTGAGTGCTTATGCTATTCGATGCCAATTTTAAAAGGGCAGCCAAGTAACGCTTGGCTTTAACTGCCTGCCTGCCAGTCCCCCAGCCCCCCATCCCCCAGCCCACTTCCACCCGCTCGACCGCATTCCTTTATCGATTTTCTGTGCGCGTTGCCCCTTTTACTTGAGCTGACCCAAAAAAAAAAACCAAGAAGCAGGCAGGCTGCCCAGGGGTGGCAACCGGCGGCAATTGCGTGCCCAGGGCTACTAAGTGGGCGGCATTCGTTATTAATTGGCCAGTTGGTCAGTAGGTCCTGGCCCACATCCGCATTGTATTAGCCCAACCGTTACAGATTGCATTCGTCCACTCGCTCCACTTGATGACATCCAGGCAATTTCTGATCTTCATTCTGTTGCTGATACCATGGCCGCCGTCCAACGTGATCAAGATACTCTGCTCGCGAGATAACAGCCGTCTGGTGCGCAAGATTGTGCGCTCCAAGTGGACGCCCATATTGGATAAGCATCAGGTAATGTTGCTAAACAAAATAATATTAAGAAGAGCCGTACTGATGCAGCTGGTTTGCGCAGGTGAAGCTGCCCTTGGAGTGTCCGCTGCATCCGCTGAGAGATGTGTTTGCGCCGCGTCAGGATGAGAAGCAGCGGGATCGGCCCACACAGTGGACCTGCCGGCTTTGTGGCAAGAGTTTCTATCAGGAAAAGTATCTGGACTTGCACTTTGATACGCGCCACAAGCACATCATCAATGAGGTAAGGCCTGATTAACTGGGAAAGCGTATCCTTCTAAAGTAAATCTCCTTTTAGGCAGAGGACGCCGTTTGCCTGGCCGACTTTTGCGATATAATGCGCTGCGAGGTATTCCAAACGGAGGACGCTTCTAGCCTGAAGTTTGGGGATCAGCACATTGTCACCGATATCGAAGTTTGGGGTGACTCTCTGGGTCAGAACTCCGCACTGGCCAAAGCGAATGCCGCATACTTGAGTTTAATACCAAGGCAAGTCTCAGATAATCCAATGGAATTGTTTGCTGATCCATTTGCTTGCAGAACTTCCACATTGAGTGCCACACGTGCAGCTAAAGTACAAAATCGTCAATTACTCCAAGAGAAGCCAAGTCCCAGCAAGGAGCAGCCATTGGCCGCAGATGCCAACAGCGCCGAGGAAGGCTCAGCGGCGAAGCCCAAATCTGCCGGCGAGAAACTGCTGCTGAAGCTAAAGGAGTTGAGTCAGACGCATCTGAAGCGTGCGGCACAAGCCGCGCCGGCGTCCGAGGCCAAGCAGAACGCGACAGCGGAGGCGGAACAGAGCGGCGACGGAGAGGGCAGCGGTCAGCCGGATGCCGCCAAGAGCTCGGACGCTGGCAACGGTCAGACCAAGGTGCGTGTCAACTGCAAGCCGGAAGAGCTGAGCAAGCTGAAGGCACGCTGCGAGCTGCTGTTACGCAGCTGCATTGGCGGCCTATTGCTGGCCATGTCGGATCAGGCGTTCAAGGAGATGGAGGAGGAGATGAACAAGGCGGTCTGCTGGTATCTGACATGCGATCGGTACTGGGAAGATGGCCCGCTGGAACCACGTGCCTTTCCCTGGGGTCTAATCGTCATACTCATATTCGTTCTATCGACGGGCATCTGTTTCTGCTACTACATCATTTGGATACTGTTTGAGTAAGTGTGTCACGGCCGCAGCAATAGCCCCCAGCCCATTTGAGATTGAGCCAACCCCAAGTCATTTGTTTCAGCTCCGAAGAAACGACAATCAATGCCAACCACTATGCCGGCGTCGGACCCGGCGGCAGCATATACATGCCCCATCCCTCGCACCACTACCAGCACGACTATGCCACCCAGCAAGAGCTGCAGCTGGACGCCGGCGCGACACCTGGTCGGACTGCCGACCTACAGCAGCAACAGCAGCAGCAGCAACAGTTCTACTACCAGCAACAGCAGCAACAGCAGCAGCAGCAGCAGCAGCAGGCGCGCGAATTGTACCCCGAACCAGTTCAATATCATCGGCACAGTCCGCGTCACACGTACATCGCCGATCAGCGTCCAGCGGCGGGGTCGGCGGTGGCGGCGGGGGGTCAGGGAACGCCAACCAGCTCGTCGGCAGGCGGCCGGCAAGTGGGGGGCTCGTCATCCAACGCCAACACGCCGCTGCATCGACACTCGACCAGCCTGGTCTACCCACAGGACATTTTAGACCGACGCGACTATACAAATAGCTCCGGCCGGCCCATAGCCACAAGCGTGGTGAGCAATGTGAGCACGTCTGGTGTTGTCTCCGGTGAACCGTCGCGTCACTACAATACGCATCCGCGGCCGCTGGACACGCGACACCGTCATGTGGGCGCCTCGCAGCAATCGTTGCGTGGCTCCTCCTCCACGCACGAGATTGTGCAGAGCGAGGTGGGTGGACAGAATGAACACTACATATATGTCACCTATCCGCCGGATCTGAAGAAGCGGTACTTCGACAAGTACGAGTAGAAACAGAGACCAAAGAGTTGCAGAGAGCGACAGCGTGAGAGAGAGAGAGAGAGGGAGAGGGGAAGAGAGCGAGAGAACAACCTAAACCCAGTTGGTTTTTTACTTTAGCCTGCAAATACTAGATTTGTGAACTGTGCTGTATTTTTGAATTCTACAAAAAAAGAAAACAATCGAATAAAATCGCAATATATTGCTATATTATAAAGAAAATGTGAACTTTTTGTTATTATTATTAGTGTACTTACCTCATGTGATGAATGCGCACGTTAAGATGGAGTGCCGCGAAATTCCACTCGCATGTGTGGAAAGATCGCAAAAACGTTTGTATGAAACTTCTTTGATTACCGTCCAATCGTTTCACACTTCCCGAAAAATGCATCCCTCCTTGATGCATATACATGCATACATGCAAACATACACACATACGTACATACATACATACATACATACATACATATATACATACATACATACACACATACATACATACATACATACATACATACATACATACATACATACATACATACATACATACATACATACATACACACATACATACATACATACATACATACATACATACATACATACATACATACATACATACATACATACATACATACATACACACATACACACGTACATACGTACATATACACAAAAACCACAAAAAAAAATACACAAAAACCACAAAAAAAAATACACAAAAAAAAAAATAAACAAAAAAAAACAAAAAAAAATACCAAAAAAAAAACAAAAAATACCAAAAATACCAAAAAATACCAAAAAAACACCAAAAAAAAACACCAAAAAAAAACACCAAAAAAAAAAACACCAAAAAAAAAAAACACCAAAAAAAAAAGCACCACACTACTAGCTAAGCATGAAAACTGCAGAGCCTACTTGAACTTTTGAGAATCGAGGAGTAGAGCACTTGGCAGAATTCGTTTTATTTAAATTTGCAGCAGAGCGCCAAACGAGCTTGCTCTGCATTTGATATTAGAAAACAAACACGTATGCATACATATGTACACAAATGCATACATACATGCATGCATACACTTACACACATACGCCCACACACATACACACATACATACATACACACACACGCATACAAACGCACACACACAAAGATAGATATTTCGGCACCTATATAAATAACCATAACTCGGCCAAATCTCATCCGATTTTCACGAAGTTTAGCTTTTTGTTCATGGTTTGGCCTCTTCTTCAATTTGGCAAGAAGAAATAGGAAGCATAAGACACACGTTTTTTTTCATTTTGCAATAACATGTACATAAAACATTTATTTCAATCAATTGTTTTGTAGTGGATTTTTTCACTTTTCCATCTAACATATTGAATATTTTTTTTAATATACGCTCAAAAAGACACTCAGATTTACATATAATTATGTATATATATATATATATATATATATATAGTCACAATTTGGACATATCGTATAATGCTTAGGGGCTAAAAAAGGCTATTAATGAACAAAAAACTCTCGAGATGTACACGGCATATAAATAGTTATAGATTTAAATTTACACATATATATATATATATAGATTTAGATAGAGAATGTGGGCGTGAAGGACATTTAGATGATGTACATATATAAATATAACTTTGCTATATATATTTTTAATTTGGGGCATACATATTACAGCTTGCATAGATCATGTCGTAGTAAGTATAATAAATATTATTACATTTAGTGGGCATTTTTGCATTTGATATTTGCTTTTGTACTAAAATTAAGCGTATTACATTAAACTATTTAATTTGATTTGCTTTTCTTTTTTTTTTTTCAATAAAATATTGCACAATTTTGGAGGAGTTAAAAAAAAAAAAAGAATAAACAACAACGTGTACTCGAAAGTTTTTCCTCTTTATATCATATAATTATTATAGTTTTATATAAATAACATTTGCTTAGTGTTTGGTTTTTTTTGTTTTTGTTTTTAATTGTTTTTGGTCCTTTGGAATGTGTGTATGTTTCGCTAGAGATTTGTTGTTCTATTTAGTCTAATTTGCAAGTTAACTATATATATCCGATCTGTTCTAGTCTTATATAAGCCATAGCATATCGAAATAGCAGCTGCATTGCGAATTCTATTAACAAATCATTTGGTTTATCTACAGTTCCGGATCGCTTTCTATATACTATATATAATATATAGTAAATATTTGTAAACGATTCTCTGTGAAAAACAAGGCCATTTAAGAGTCTTCCAGACATGAATACATCAATATATATTATTTAAATATATACGTACGTCTATATATTTATATTTGTTTATATTTTCAACAATTCCCAACTTAACATAAATTGCACTAAAGCAAAAACAAAGTCTTGAACTAAGCACAGAACTAACTGAACCAATTGCTACTCTAACAATCTAAATCTAACAGTTTTTCGTTCTATATATATATTGTATACCTCTTCTTCTTCTTCTTGTTGATTTTTTTTTTTTTTTTTGTTTAATTTTATATTTTTGGTCTAGGCTGCATTTTGGTGGCCTTCATTGAACAAAGGCAGTTGGCGAAAATCTTAACTTAAATCGAAGGCAACTATTTCAAAACGATGATAAACTAAGTAAGAATGCGAGAGTCAAGGCAAGCCGACTGCTAGATGCTCTGCTTGGCTGCAGTGTGTGTGTGTGTGTGTCAATATTTGACTGAGGCCTGGTCTAAAAATATTCGCATTACATTTTGTATATTTAAGAAACATCGAAAGCTTATGGAAAATATAAAGCTTAAGCTAGAAGAAGCACAAATAAATGACAGCGCATCAAGCTCGCTCTGAACCTAACCGAATAGGGTATACAGCTGGGAAACGGGGCGTATTGCTGCTTAGCTGTTTTTTTTCGGTCTTTTTAAAACCACATGGCCATCAACTTGAAATAAAAAAAGAAAAAAAAGGGCTGTACCTGGTCATAATTACACACAATTTGTGTGTCAACACGCAAGGAACAGACCCCCCCCCCCACACACACACGTTCGTATACGCGAGTATACTACTAACCATGGGGTATATATATATATCATATATGTGTATATCTCTTCCGATATCTCTGGCTGTAGCTGTACCTGTATATCTCTCGCTATCTGCTGTTTGACCTTTGACGAGCGGCACTTTAAACTTAACCGCACCGACTAAAATGCTGATACACTTAGCTGATAAAAACATAATAATAAAACAAAAAAAAAAAAAAAACAGATATATAAATTTTGTGTTCTCTCTGTCTCGCTCGCTCTCATACAAATTTATAAGTATATATAGATAAGTATTAATATATGGCTGAAATGACATATGCGCTCGATTTTAAAACCTAATTGCACGCGAGCTTCACCAACACACACACGCACACGCACACAAGCACATCTACACACACACGTAAACATATGTAGCTAATTGCGTATACGCCAGGTGTACGCCCCCGCCCTCTGCCCGGTACTAAGCTGCACGAGATTCGAATTTGTAATGTTTGTAATTTTAAAATTAATTTAAAAACACGTTAATTGCATGTCAAAATATTGCACAATTAGCTAAAGTATTTTTATATATAATTATATATAAACTATATGCTTAACATTTAAATATAGGGTGACAAATATGGGCAAGTCCTGGCTAGATTCCAGTGTGAACATAAAACAAATCAATTAAAAGTGTCAACTTATGTATCTGAAAGGATCCGCAAAATTATGTGTAACAAAGCTCAGGTAAACTATTAAGGAAAAGCATTGAACATTAAATTAAATGAAATTAATCAGAGTAGATATTGTAATGTGAAACAAAAACAATTTATCAATAATCAATCATTATTTATAAGAAATTAATCAAGGTAAGAAAACTTTCATTCATCAGCAGCAAGTTCTGATGCCTTCGCGGCTTTAACTTGTTGAGAATTATAAGCGGCGAGCAATGAAACATTAGAGTAAAGCAAGCAAAGCGTGCAAAACACATGTTCACAACAAATCAGAAATTAATTAAATTGCTTTTCCTTCTCTAAATTTTTGTTCAACTCGATTCAATGGCAAAGTCAGCAGATTATATTATATCGGATATATCTTCAATTAGTTAAAGAGAGAGTCTGTTAGGCTAAAGAGCTCAATAAAATCAATTGTATTACGAAACTAACTAATTTAGGCTTAAACAAAAGCAAATTGGCTTTGCTCTCTTGACGAAATAAATGGAAATTACGAGATCCAAAGCTGTTAGGGTATACAAACTTCGGCTTGCCTTAGTCAATTCCTTTTTTCATATGATTATATTAATGCCTGGCGCTGGATGTGCCCATATTTGCATTGAGAAATTATGTTTTTGCTATGCTTTCATATATGTATATATACAATATAAATAAGCGAAAGACTATTCAAATAAGTTATATATATAGCATATATATAGGGTATATGCACGCTTATATATAGGGTATATGCGCTCATATTTATAGGGTATATGCATATTAAAAAATGACAAAAAATTTGATTTTACATAAACAAGTCTTTTGAGATTCTCGAAATGTGTGTGTGTGTGTGTGTGAGGGGATGTGTAAGGGTGTGTGTGTGTGGTAGTGAAGGTGTGTGCGGGTGTGTGTGTGTGTGGATAATTTGAATTCAAATTTCTAATCCATTAGGCACGCCAAGTTGATTTTTCATGCGAGAACGACAAGTCCGACGACTTTGTCGTCAAATCCCGTTTCCAGTGGTCCGGAGGATGAGGGGGATTTCGGGTGTGTGTGTATGTGTGTGTGCTTGTGTGTGTTGCAGCTATCTTTGGTTAACAGCGCGTCTTCCTGGACCTCGCCAGGCGTCGCCTTCTGTACTTCTTGAGCACGCGCTGGGCATGGTAGAAGCGACTGATATTGTTCTGGACATATTTGGCGTGGAGATACTTGAGGAACTGTCGGCGCTCGAATCTCTTGTAGTTGTCCGGCACCACCTCCTCGTGGTGGATGAACTGCGGCTCCGGCTCCGGCTCGGCCAGCAGCTCGATCAGCTGCAGCGTATTGACTTGCTCCTGCTCCTGTTCCGGCTGAGCCTGCTGCTCCGGCTGCAGTTCGTCCGCTACCACGCCCAATATGTTCTCGTTCATGTCGCATTGCACCACGTACAGATCGCTGCTGTTGTTGTCGAAAATCTCGGCGAGATTAATGAGCAGCACATCCTGTCCATTGGCTTCAGAGGCGGCGACAGAGGCGCCTTCCAGCTGCTTGGCCACAATTTCGGTTTCATCTTCCGTTTCGTCCGCATCGGAGGTGACGCCTATTTGCTGATACATCTCGGCCAGCGCCTCCTCGACGCTCAGCTCGCGCGTAACCGGCGGCGTCGCCTCCATGGACACACCCGGTTCACTTATGACTAAGTCGCTAACTTTTAAGGAACTATTTAAGGCAATTTTACTAAGGTCACTTAGCTTTGGTACGTTGTTGGACCGCTCCTGCTCCCGCTGCGGCTGCTGCTCCTCCTCGAGGTCGTCATCGCTCTCCAGAATTTGCTTGAGCTTGGCTATGTCATTGTTGGAGACTTGCGCCTGGCTGTCGCAGCTGCTGCTGGGCAACAGCGCCGGCTCCGGCTCCGGCGTCGGTTTGGGCAGCGACAACTCCTTCTCCAGCGCGGCCATCTCATTGAAGTCGCTCTCTTCGCCGGAGCGGCTGCCACCGCTGCTGCTGCTGCTCGTGCTGGAGCTGGACGAGGAGCTGCTCGAACTGGCAGACGAGGACGAAGAGGAGGAGGAGGACGAAGAGGACGAGGAGGAGGCGGAGGAGACGGATGCGATAGCGGCTGAGTTCAAGCGGGTGACTTCTTGTGGCACTTCTTGCGGGGTCACTTGCTCCGTGCTCTGATGCAGCCAACGCTGTACTTCCAGCTGCTTGTCCACATTCCGTTCCACCTCCGTTTCCGTGTCCGCATGCAGCTTGGCCTTCGGCGACAGATGCGTATTCTCGACATCGTCAAAGCCCTTGAAGCTGCCCACGGACTGCAGGGTATGATTCGAGTCGCAGCCATTTTGCTGCTCCTCCAAGACCTGTGGCTGCTCGCGCAAGGCATAGCCACGCTTGATGACCGTCTCCCGATCCGAAACGGCGGTTTCCGTGCCGCCTAAGCTCTTCAGGCTGCGTGGACTCCGCCTGGCATATTGCCGCTTGATCAGCGGCAGGCGATGCTCCGCCGTGCGCAGCGCCAGCTGTCGCCGCATCCGCTGCCCGCGCTGCTCCCGCATTCGGCTCAGGGCGTATTTGCGCCGGAGCAGCTTCAGCGTGCGAAAATAGAAGCGATGCTTGATCTTGGGACTCTCGAACTCGAGTATCTTCAGCATTTTGATGCGATTGCGACGACGTCGCGCTACCCTTTGGCGACTGGCCCGGGCCGAGGCCTTCGGCGAGAGCGAGATCGGAGCAGCTGCCGGGGCGGACTCCACAGGAGCTAACTCAGCCGTTGGCTCCGTCCGCTCCGTTGGCTCCGTTGTCCGGCGCTTGCGCTTGTAGAACTTGTGGCGATACTCGCTGTCGTCCTGGGCATTGTTTGGCTCCTCCACCTCGCTGTCGCTGCCGCCGATCTTGTGTATGAACGTCTCGTACTCCTTCTCAAACGTGGAGCCGTTCGAGTTGCTGTTGCTCTGATCAAACTCAATGGCGGGCGGTTCCAGCAGCGGGCTGGCCAGCGGCAGCTCCAGGCTCGGCTCCTCCGGCGCCACAACCGGATCTCGGAGTATCTCGGCCAGGGCATCCGTGTCGGCCGGCTGCGATTCGCTGGCCTCAATGCCGCACTTCTTCAAGCGTAGCTCGTCCAGTTCCTTTTCCACATCGAAGCTGCCAAAGGAGTCCTCCACCTGGCCCACGCTAGACTTCTCATGATGATGATCGATAATGATGTCCGGCAGATTCATGCTGGGGCAATCATTGACCTGCGTGGCCACCGGACCCGCTGGCGGCAGCGTCTCGTACATAAAGCCGGACGCCGTGGCAAGTGTCGGAGCCGGAGCTGGAGCAGCTGCGACGGGCGCAACCACAGCAATTGCCGTTGTTTGCTGTAGCTCCGCTTCAAGTCGGACCGGCGCCGGCGGCAACTCCTCCTCGTCATCGTTCCAGCTGGACAGAAAGTCACGTATATTGGAGCTATTCGAGCTGGGCGGCGACTCCGACTTGTGCTGCTGCGGCAACTGCGGCTGCGGCGCATAGTGTGTCGCGGCGGAGTTTGCGTGCAGATCGTAGCCCACATAGCTGTCCACGGGCGTCTCCAGATAGCAGTTGTTGCTGGGATTTGCCCGCTTCCGATAGGCATACTCTAGCGAGCCGGCGGCGGCGGCGGGGGCAAAGGGCGGCGTTCGATGCGTTTGCTGGCCGTAGCCGCTGTCCAGACTGCCGAGATCATTGTAGTAGGCGGTGCTTACGTTCGCCTCCAAGCCCATGCTCACGCCCATGCCCACGCCCACGCCCATGGCCACGCCCACGCCCAGCTGCGGCACATAGCCGCGACTATTATTGCTGGGCGTAACAGGATTGGGCGCGCCGCCATTGCCGCCCGGCTGTGCATAGCCATAGCCCAGCGGGTCGTAGCTGCCGTAGAGATCAGTCGGATGCTTGAGCTTGTGACTGCCGCTCACCTGGCTGGGATACTGTGGCGGAGGCGGCTGTGCTCCATAGCCATTGCGCGGATAATAACAGCTCTGCTGCGGATACGACTGCGTGCAGCAGCTCTGCCTGGAACTGGGTGGTGGCGCCTGTTCCACCGGATTTGCTGGCCACATGCCGCGTGCGCCATAGTTCAGGTTCGCCTGATACGGATTGCTGCCCATTGCCGCCGGCACCGCCGATGATGACGTCTGAGCCGTTGGATACTTCTCATATTTGTAGTACAAATCGCTGCCTGTTCCATGATGATAGGCGCCTCCATTCCCATTACCATTGCCGTTGCCCGCGGCGCGACAATTGGCCGCATTGTAGTCGACATTCCAGCTGGACTTGCGATACGCGGACTCCGCCGACTGCAGCTCCGGCGGACTGTAGAGCGGCGGTGCGGGCGCACCGAAGCTCAGTCCAGCTCCGTTCGGCGAGTAGAGGGACATGGCATATTTGTCGTAGTAGGCGCCGCCGGCTACCTGTGCCGGGACGCCAGGTGTGCCAGGTGCGTTCGGACTGGCATAGACCGCAGCCGGCGGCATATTACCATACCGACTGCTCGGCTTGATGGCGGCATAGTTGGGCTCGAGCGGCGGCAGCAATTGTTGTTGCTGTTGTTGTTGCGGCGGCAATTGTTGCTGTTGCAGTTGCAATTGTTGCTGTTGCAATTGTTGCTGCTGCAATTGTTGCTGCTGTTGTGGCAGCAACTGTTGCTGCTGCTGGCTTGGCTTTTGCTGTTGCATGGCCATACTCTGATATTGCACCTGGTGCTGTTGCTGCACCTGCTGTTGCACCTGCTGCTGCTGCACCTGTTGCTGCTGCACCTGCTGCTGCTGTGGCATCTTGTACTTGTAGGCCTCGTACGCATAGCTGCTCGGCATGGACATGGCCATGCCCAGCGCTTGGGGTTGTGCATAGAAGGGCGTGGCTGCCGCCTGTGGCTTGCTGCTCCCCATCATGTTAACCCCGACCCCGCCACCGCTCCCGCTCCCGCCCACGACACCGCTGTTGTTATTGTATTTGGGCGCCAGCTTCTCGTAGCTTCTCGTATAGTTGCTGGCCGCATTGTAATTGTAGGCACTATAGTTGTACGCATCCAGACTGCCATAATTATAGTTCTGATGATAAAAGTGCGTTTGCTGCTGTTGCTGCTGCTGCTGCTGCTGCTGCTGCTGTCGCTGATGATGGGCATCTAGGCTGGTCAGGGCTTCGCTGTAGAAGGGCGCCACCGTTGCGATGGTGGCCATTGGCGTTGCCGTGCCCTCATAATGGCCGCCTCCGGTGCCTATTGGCGTTGTGGGCGTGGTTGTGGCACTGCCATAACCACTGCTGGCGCTGCTGCTGCTGCCAGGGCCAGAGTTGCCGCCGCCGCCGCCCCCCACAGCAATGGCCATGGCGGCCGAGTCCATGTTGCCAGCTGCAAATGCAAAAAGTCGAGCCACATAAGTCAAGTGCGAAGGCACATAAATAAAAGCTGGAAAATGTAGGAGTGCTCCCGTAGGGTGTACACGACTAGCAGATGCCCCAAGGTCAAGCAGCCCTCACAAATATTCGTTTGCCTTCCCTTTCACCCTTCCATCTCTTTATTCCTTCTATTTCCTTCTGTTCTTTTTCGTTTTTTCTGAAAAATTAAACATTCTGTAAAGTTCCCTTGCTCTTGAGACCTGGAATGGAAGCTTTTGTTTGCTCTTCTTTAATGGTATATATGTATATGAACAGAAGATTCCAGGACTATAAAACTGGAAAAAAGGTAAGCAAAAATTGTAATTCACTTTATCATAAGTTGCTCCTGGTCGTACATCATATATATTTTTTTAATATGGATGTCGCTTAAGAATCGCTTTCTATATAGATCATAAAACATTCTAATTTCTGTTGGGATCTAATCTCTTTTTATGCATGACTGAAACATAGTTAACACGAAAACGAAAGTTGACAATTTACGCGGCTATATAAAGGTACATGTGTGTGTGTGTGTGTGTCTATAAGCTTGTGCGTGTGTGTGTGTGTGCAAGTAATGCTTTGTTTACAGTGAACCCCCCACCCCCACCCCTATACACATTCCCCACCCCCGCTTGCCAACACACACACAGAGAGACAAACACATGTGCGCTGCACTACAGGAAAAAGCAATTATTCCATGGCATTTAAATGAAAAATGGAAAAGCCCCAAGCCACCCTCCAGCCCCAACCCCAACCCTTATTGGGGTTGTTGATGTTTTTGTTGTTGTTCTTGTTTTTGTTGTTGTTGTTGCTGGCGACTTTAATGGTCATAAATGTCGCATTTCGCGGCACGACGAGCCACGCGCAGGTCCTCTTTCAAGTGTGTCAATGGGGTTGATGTCTAAATGCTGGCTAGCTGGATGGGGAATAACCGCCTCCGCCCGTTGCTCTGCCCCCTCTCTTTAGAACCAACCCGTTCTGGCCAGCAGAAAATGAAAAAACGAACTCGCTTCAACTTTGTGAAATGCGATTGTTCATTAAATATTAACGATTGTTGCCACCCAGCGCAGAGCAAACATGGCCAACGCACAATGGCATATGCGGGGCACAAAAAACGAAAGAATTACACTTTGTTTATATTTTTGAAAAGTTTCTCTTTTCAAGTCTTACAACATTTACTTTAAGTCGGAGTTCCTGACAAACAAACAGCAGAATACTTATCTTATTGGAAGCCGATAACAAAAGAAATGTAGCATATGCAATTTTTAGGAATTCTTTAAATTATCTTAAAAGCACTTGGCTAAGTTAACTTCTTCTTTGTTAAGCAAGTTTGATGTACTTTGCATTTCATTAAGAAAGCTGCTTTTGAATATTTTTTTCAACCTTTCGCTTAACAGTTTTTATTTGAACATATTTAGCTAGCATATGTTAGCATACAGCTGTTATCTTAACAGCAATTGGCAATGTTAAGAGCTTTATTTATTTTGACGAAAGGAGTCTTAAAAAATGCTAAGTTAACAGCTGTTATCTTAAAACCAATTGGCGATGTTGCTTTCTTTTTGCTATTTTACAGTTTTTGTATAACCAGCTGTTGCCATAACAGAACCAGGTAATGTTAATTATTTGTATTTTGCGGAAAAAACGAATTCTATCGAAATTTTTGTTTTTTAACAGAGACCGATTATATTTCAGCCACAGTGCAGCAGCGCAAAGGGACAGTGGGTCGACGACAGCACGTCTGGAGTACACGGTTGGGCGTGACGCCGGACGACGCTCAATGTCAACGCCCACAACAAAGTGTGCCACACACACACACACACAAACGCACACTCACACACACGTACTTCAAAGCAAAAATATTAATTGTGGCGACCACGCCCCCAGCTAGACAGCCTTGCATATGAAATGTACTGCGTTAAGGTTTTCCCACTGACACGAAATCCGACGGCGACGCCGCCGCTGACCACCTGTGACTAGCAGGCGTAGCAGGCAGCGGTCAGCGAAAGCGCAAGTTGCAGCAGCACGCATACGCCCCGTGCTCCTCCGCTGGCAATTGTCATGATAAATGCACGACGGCGCAGCTCCACTAAAGTACACGGAATTCATTATGTTAATTCACTTTCGTTTGTTCGCGAATACACGTCTGTTATGATATGTGGAAGGCTGGTTGGCTTTGTGGGGGCCGATCGCATACCCTGCACTAATCACCTAATGAGCAGGAACATCGATGGGCTTTTAGTCTAATTGAGCGTATCGAATTGGCTAAATCATCATCATTATGTTTATCGATAAGTGAGATCGAAAATCGAAATTACAGTGAAAAAAGAGGAAAACAAACAAAACGAAATACTCTGCGATATGAGAAATGCGAAATATAATATTCTGAGCTCCGCACTCAATTTTCTCAATTTCAATTAACAAATCCTGAGAACAAAGCTTTTAATTTTAACTCGAGTAGCCACGAATTTTATGTATGGTATATATATTATATAACTCGTAGATGCTAAAAACTTTTAAGCCCGAATTGCTTTACATGAATAGAAAAAATAGCCTACGACCTATCGCGCTTAAGGCAGCTATATCATATACCAATTCGATCAAATTCGTTAGCTATAAAATGAAAGATACTTGATATATATACTATATTCAAGAAGCTACATGCAAAATTTGTTGACTCTAGCTTTTATAACTTACGAGATTTGCTCAAAAAACAGGTTTTCGATATCGATTTTGTTCGATTACTCGGAAACGATGCAAATTATCGGTTATCGGAAATGAACTAGTACTACGCGGGCACTAGGCGGAGCTACATTCCAAATTTCTTGACTCTAGCGCTTATGGGTTCTGAGATTTCTGAGACGGACGGACAGACAGATAGTTCAAGAATATATATTTGTTATGGAGTCGGATATGCCTGCTTCTGCTTGTTACATACATTTAACCTTTTAACCCATTTTTAATGGATTCGGGGTACAAAAAATGTGTCTACCAAATTTCGGCGGGATAGAATCACAAAGAGCTTATTTTACATAGGTCACATGGAGCTGACCACAGCTCGAAATCCAAAACAGAACCCTAAGAAACGTGTTATTTTTTAATTTGGAGACGTCAAATGTTAGAGTTTTAACCGGAAGTTTGAAAACGAAAAGGGAATTTCCACATTCGATTTCAACACCCATACATATGTATGTAACGGCAACCAGGCCAGATGTTGGGTTCAATTGGGTAACACCATAAACGACGTGTTGAATAAAACAACAAAACTGCACAACAAACAACAAAATTTATGCATAAATCGACTGCGACTTCAGAATCGACTCAATTATGCTGCCATATGTTGATGTCCAAGGAGACAGAGTAAGAAAAAAAAACGCGCGCAACAGCCTCACACACGGCACACAGACACACACGCACACAGATGCACAGCAAGAGGTTGAGAGCGAGAGAGAGAGAGAGAGAAGAATAGCTCGTTGCACATTACTGTTGTTTATGGGCACGTGCTCGTTGCCTGACCGCGCTCGATAGTGTAGTATAGTTACGGGCTGAGAAACGGGCAGCGCTGCGTATGCGTAATTTTAATTAAATATTCCCGAAACTAAAAACAAAAACAACGCAAGTCTATTTAAACTTTGCGATGCGTGCGCGCGTGAAACTTTTTCATCTGTTGCCGCGGCGTAAGAGACGCAACGGAATGTGAATGCCGCTACGGCTGGCGTCGACGCAGATGCTGACGCTAGCTGTGACGCTGGCGCCGCTGTCGACGCGGGCGACGCATACAAACAGAGCGGAAAGTCCTGCTTAAAGCAGGGCGGGTTGAAACTAAACGGGACACTGCCACATGACAAGCCATTCACTGTTTGTGTGTGTGTGTGTGTGTGTGTGTGTGTGTGTGTGTGTGTGTGTGTGTGTTTGTGTGTGAGAGAGTGAATGAGTGAGCGCTTTTTTTTTCTTGTGTGTGTGTGTGTGTGTGTGTGCGTTGTTGTTGTGCTTGGGAAAACAAGTGGTTGCCGTGGTGAGAAAACAAGGCGCACACAACTTAAGCGCCGGCTGGCTAGCCCAAGAGGTTTAGGGTGTGGGAAATGGACTATGGGCAGGAATAGCTGGTACCTGACGTCTCTGCACATTTGACAGCTAGCAGCGCCGGCGGAAATGAAAGGCAGGCATGTACACACACACACACACACGCTCGTAAGCAAACATGACAGTTGCATGGCAGCACTGTGGAACGACTAATGGATAAACAACTAAAATTAAAGTTCAATAATTATAAGTTAATGCAAAATCGATTGCAAGATATCGATATCAAGTGCTGTTATCGATTCACAGCGAAGGCGTGCTTAACAACAACAACAACAAATAGGGTACAGCTGGAAGGTTGTTTAACATTAACATTAAACATTACATTTTGCAAGATCATAGCCAAAAAAAAAAAAATGCAAGTCGTGATTTCTTTTAATTTCGCACCACTGTGCGTCGCCCCCAATGCAGTACACGCTCCCATTAACGGCTGGTGACTCTGCCTAACGGTACGATGCTGAAGCGTGACAAACAAGCGACAGGCGAACGGCGAACGGCGCAACTGTTAACTGCAACAACAAACAACTAGAGACAGACAAGCAGACAAACAAATAGGCAAATAAAATACAAATTAAGAAAAATGTGCAGCAAATGATTTGCGCCGCTGGCGTTGACAGTCCAGGTGAAAATAGGACCAAACGTGGCCACAAAGCAAATTAAAAAACAAAAAGGTAAATTGAACAACGCAGCGACAGCGACTAATTGATACAAAAACAAAGCCAAAAACTGTTTTGCGGTTGCGTTGCAAAAAGGGAATTGACAAAAACAAAAACACACACAAGCACACACACACACACACACACACACACACCAAATAGGCGACAAACAGCAGGAAAATAACAACAACGGCATCCATAAAAGCAGCGCAATCAAATGATAATAAAAAAGCCGCGATTACAGTGACAGCAACAGCAACAGCAACAACAATAACAGTAACAACAACAGCAACAGCAGCAGCAAAGTTGGCAGCGCCGTCGCACTCACACACACATGCACACACATTTGTTGATTATGCATGCGTGAGTGAGTCTCGCGTCGCTCAAAGGTGAAACGAGAATAGAGAACGAAGAAGCAGCAGAAAGCAGCCGCAGCGACAGCGGCGTCGGCGCCGAAGCCACAGAAGAAGCAATAGCAGTTCAAATGCAAAACAAATTTCAAAAATCGAACAAAACGTACAAAAAAAAAGAAAAACAGAAGAAAAAAAAAACAACAAAATGCTGAAAAGCACAAGGCAAAAGACACAGTTGCCACGAGCGGAAGTGAGGGGTGAGGAGAGCCACCATAAATATTGATTGAAAATCAATAGGTTGCGTCCTCCCCACCGTCAGTCAGTCTATCTGTCTGTTTGTCTATTTGTCAATTGTAGTTGTGAATTGAAGCCCTATGCGCACTTCCAGTCCAAGTTCCAGCCCACCGGCACAGTTACATACATACAAACATATGTATTTATGCCTATATACATGTGTACACACTGCTACACAGCTGTATTTCTATTTACATGCATATACATATGTACGTACATATGTGTGTATGTGTGTGCGTGCTGGCAGCGCTGACAAGCTCGGCTTGATAATTTAAACACGTACACTACCCCTGCCAGGCAGAGGCACTTACACACATATACAGCTACATACATATAGAGCAAAACAGACGGAAAAGCACAACAAAAGCAACAACAACAAAAATGTCAACACACTTTTGCTGTTGCCGCTGCCATTGTTGTTGCTTGTCGTTGCCTTTGTATGCGTATGTGTGATGGTAAGGGGGGGCATTTTGGGTTATAGGCTGTAATCAACATTGTCGCTGTCGCTATTGGGGCGCAAAAAATGCCAAAAGAACAGAATAAGTAGAGCACCCCAAGTCTGCGTCGACTGCGACGCTGGCAGCATAAGCCAAACTCGCACACAGAGGACAGAGGGAAAGAGCGGCGCACGAGGCGGAGACAGAGAGAGTGAATGTGCAAGAGAACGCAGGGGGATTGGGGCAGCATGAAGCCAGCGTATGCACTGAAGCAGCAAATAAACCACGTATTCACACACACATAGAAGAGAGCTCAGCATTCATAAAGCACACACACACATGCACACACACTTAACATTACATTCACATACATACATATATACGAACCTCAACAGTTTTTCGACATTTTGTTGCTATTTTCGCTGTCGCAGTCGCTGCCTCTGTCGCTGCGGCGGTCGCTGCTGATGCTCACTTAAACGTTAAACGTTCTGCCGTTAGTTGGTTGTTATTGTTGTGTGTGTTTGTTTTGTATCTGCCGTTTCGCTTGATTATATTGTTGTTGTGCGCTTGTGTGTGCACTATTAGTTGTGATATAATTTGATAATATTCTTGTTGTTATTGTTGCTTTGACTTTTTATTTATTGCATTCAATTATCATTTTTGTACGCACTACACATGCAAACGCGCGACGTCAACGTCGACAGCGACGCGGCTGCCCCACTGCTGCTGCTGCTTGGCACAAATTTTTATTTGCCAAGGTAACTGATAATACACTCTATTTTGTTGTTGTTGTTGTTGTTGTGGTTGTTGTTTTGTAAAAAGATACGTTTATGGAACAATTTTTGTGTAATTTGGTGGCCTCAGCTGGTGTCGACGACGCTTTTTGCACGAATTCAAGTTAGAGATACAGATACACGTACACAAAACGCGACTTTGAATGCAGCCGGCATTGACAGCGTTTCCAATTATTATTATTATTGCTGTTGTTGGATTGGGGCTGGGGCAAGCGGGCGGGCGGGCGGTCAGAAGACACTGGCCGAACGCTGTACAGGTGGCAGCGGCGTGGCGAATTGAAATAGCAGCGCGTAAATTGTAGAGAACTAAATATAAACGACACACACACTATATATATGTATGTACATATGTAGGTACGAGGAACGTAGACGTAGTAAATATAAAAGTTAATAACAACGCAAAGAAATAAACACACACACACACACGAACGAGCCGCCGAACGAGCAACGAGCAAACGGACGTGCGCTCTGTCTGAATGTCGAGATACGAATGAGCAACGGTAAAAAACGGTGAGCCGGAGCAGAAGCACGCGCCAAAACGAAAGCTAGTAAAAGTTTAGAGCGCGCGAACGTTCTCTGTGTTGTTGTTCGTGTTTGTGTTATGTCTGTGTGCTGTGTGCGAGAGAACTTCATACAGGTGGTTTAGTCAGTTAATTGTTCGTACAGCCATGGTGTACAGTAGACTGAGTTGGTGCTAATTGAATATGTCGTTCTGTATTTACAGTTAATACAACACGTGAGCGCCAGCTCATAATTAGCTGGTTTATGTTTATTCTTCTCAAGCCCAAGTTTACGCGCCAGAAATAGCTGTTGGCCATTAGGCTGCCAGACTGTCAAAAATAAATTGTATGGTAAACACAAGCGTAGCGATGCCACATAGTGCCAGCAAACTAGTGCAATATGTAAACACAAGCGCAGCGTTGCCACGTACCGATAGAAAATTAATAAATCGATATACGCTATCGATAGCAGATGTGAAAATCAAGCGAAAAATTGCGAACGCGAGTGCGTAAATTTGATTAAAAATCTCAATAAAGTTGTTTAAACAAAGCTTAATTGTTAAATTGAAACATGGCTGAAGAGTGGCAAAGCCAAAACTTTCGGCAGAATGTCATCTCGAAAATGTGAGTAGTCTTTTTTTCAAGATAATATTGTGTTCTTAATGAGGCTTTCCTATGTGTCGCAGCCACGACATGTTGCCGCAAAATGGGCCGGAGCCCAATAAAAACGCCAGCATGATGGAAAATCATATTTTTCGCAAGTCACACACAAAGGATGAGTATCTGGGACTGGTAGCCAAATTGTTTATGCACTACAAGGACGCGTCCCAGCGCAAATCTCAGCCACAACAACAAAGGCAACAACAACAACAACAGCAGCAGCAGCTGCAACAACAACAGCAGCAGCAGCCTGCCCCGTCGAACGCGGAAATGGGACAGCAGAATATAATGCAGGATCCGTTGAATGCGCTGCAAAACCTGGCTAGTCAGGGCAATCGTAATCCACAACTGATGCCAATGGGCGGCGCGCCGGGCCCAAACCAAATGGCCGGTCCCGGTGGACCGGGTACTGCCTCCAATTTGCTGCAAACACTGAACCAGCAGCGACCCGGCCAACAGCAAATGCAGCCCATGCCCAATATACGTGGCCAATTGCCAATGGGCGCCGGCGCCGGGGGACAACAAATGGTACAAGTACAACAAATGGCTGGCGGCAATGGACCTGGCGGTGGTGCTGGTGGCATGCAGCTCAATGCTATGGGACCCGCTGTTTCGCAGGGCCAGGGCCAGATTGTGGGCAATGCCGGCGGCATGCCCAATCAAATGGTGGGCCCGGGACCCAATAGTGGACCAACTGGCGGTGCAGCCGGCGGCATGCCCAACCAAATGTCGCCCATGGTGGTGAGTAGTGTGTCAGCATATTGCAAAAATTGTATACTTATTCATAAATTATCTATTAGATGGGCATGGGCAATCCGATGATGCGCATGAACCAGGGCATGCAGGGCATGCCGTCCAATATGCAGCAGCAGCAACAGCATAATGTTGTGGGCGGACCGGCCGGACAGCAACAGGTGGGCGGACCCGGCGGCTTGCCACCCAACGCAGTGCAACAGGGCGGCGGCGCTATGAATCCCATGGCCGGCATGAATGTCAATATGCCGCCCAATATGCAGCAAAAGCCAAATATGGGCATGGGCCAGGCGGGGCAAATGTTTGCGGGCAATCGCGGCGGTGTTGTTGGCGGCCAGCAGCAGCAGCCGCAGCAGCCTTTTATGCGATCCAGTCCCTCGCCAGCTGATGCTCAGCAATTGCAGCAGCAGCAACAGCTGCAGCAATTACAGCAACAACAACAGCAGCAGCAGCAACAGCAGCAACAACAGCAACAACAACAACAACAACAGCAGCAACAACAACAACAACAGCAATTAGTGGGCAACCAGACGCCCACACAGCAGCCGCCTACACCACAGATGCCCACACCACAAATGATACCCAGTCCGGCCTTGGTGCCGCAATCGAGTCCACAAATGATGATGCAGAACACGCAACGCAACATACGGCAGCAATCGCCGAGCGCATCGATAAATACGCCCGGTCAAGTGACAGGCAACAGTCCATTTAATCCGCAAGAAGAGGCGCTTTATAGAGAGAAATACAAGCAGCTGACCAAATACATTGAGCCGCTTAAGCGCATGCTGGGCAAGATCAGCAACGATGGCACCAGTCAGTCACAACAATTTGTCGGAAATTATGTATTCTAATTTGTATTTGCGTTTGCAGATGTGGAAAAGATGACCAAGATGAGCAAATTGCTGGAGATTCTATGCAATCCCACGCAGCGTGTGCAGCTTGATACGCTGCTCAAGTGTGAGAAGGCGCTGGAGAAGATGGATCTGGTCTCCTACTCGGGTCAGCAGTTTGGTGTAAGTCAATTTCGCTCCCCGGCAAACCGTTCTCTACATTTTAATACTCCAACAGAAATCGTCGAATCCTCTGCTGGAGGTCATAAATACAACGCTGCAGAGCCCATTGGCAAATCACACGCTGCATCGCACCTTCCGGCCAAGCTTGGAGCTGCTCTTTGGCACAGATATATGCGCACCAGTGCCCACAAAGAAGCCGCGCCTTGAGGAGAAGACCACGCCATTTGAGCAGGATGTGCCGCATGTGCTACAGGGCGAAATTGCACGGCTCGATACCAAGTTTAAGGTCAAACTGGACACGACCGCACAAAACAATAACAAGACAATACGTTTGATATGCTGCTTGGATGACAAGCGTTTGCCCAGCGTGCCGCCGGTGAGTGTTAGCGTGCCGGAGGAGTATCCATGGCAATCGCCCGATTGCTCGCTCACCGAACAGGAATATTCGGCCACGCCGTTTCTGCAAACTGTGCAACAGGCATTGATAGCGCGCATGTCCAAGCTGCCAAAGAACTATTCACTCTCGCATCTGTTGGACACCTGGGAAATGGCAGTGCGTCAGGCCTGTTCGCCCCAATCCAAGCCACGGGCCATGTGCGAGCTAAGCACGCTCTTGGGTATATAAATTGCAGCCCTCACGTATCCAAAGATCATTTGCCTCAGCTATATATAGGAATAACAATGCAGAGATCTCTTCGGGCTGTTCTACACTATGTTTCTATAAGATTTGCTATAGTTGTGAGAGGCATTAGAAGTTTATAATGCTCTTCTGGAAATTAAGTGGTAACTACTCTGATCCCATAAAGTATATATATATAAATTCTTAATCCGAGTCAACAGCCTACTCGGTCAATTTTTCGACGTATCAATTTCCCACTCGAATATAATCTACAATATGAATATTCTGGTTTTATAGAGACCCATATTTTTACGATTCGTCTCTAAATTGTTGCCAATTTAATTCACTTTCTACCTGATATTATTCCCTTATGTTAAAATAATTAAATATCCATAAAACCAATTATGTAAAGTATAACCATTAATTATAATAATAATTAACCACAGTGTTAAACGAAAATCGATTCTTATCGATATCTTGAAAAATGAAAATTTAACAGAAAAGCTGCTCCGGAATTTTATTGAAGCTTTTCAGCCACTGATTGAGACAATAACCCGCTCTCAACGATTCATTAACAAGAGCGTCGAATTTATTGATAATCTCGACAAATATTTAACTAGTTCAGTTTCCGACCAATTGGACAGTTATCTACAAAGGATTATCTACGACCTCTCCGATCTCTATACCAACAGTCTTGAGCACATTTGCCAGCATCTAATAGACCCGATCGTAAGTAGCCAAGCCTCATCCATTTCTATCTCATATCCATTAATATCTGATCAATTGCAGAATGCATTCTGGGTGGGCGTGCTGCTTAGCGCCCTGTTGCTCCTTCCGATCCTGTATGTGGCCCATCGACTGATCTGCCTCTATAGGGTATATCCAGTGTATGTGGCCAAAATCCTATATCTGGAGCGAGAAGGTTACCCGTAAGTAGTCTCATTCGATTACAAACTACGACTGACCGTAACGATCTGATAATCTTCCTCAGCTGTCCGACCTGCTCAGGTCTTCCATATAGGCCCAATCCGATCATCATCTGCGGCGGAGGCCAACAAGATGGCGGCGAGTGCCCGTGCATTGACACTACAATCAAAATATCTGGGTTGGGTGCAACACCCGGCGGCGCCTACAAACGTAAGCGTGAGTAAGTAAGCATTAAATTTTATATTAAATCTTAATATAAGACTGTTTGCCTAGTTTTTTCCAAATCAGAAATGTTGTATAAATAGCTATAGAAAGAGGCAATCAATTTTAAATGATACTTGACATTGATTTAGACGGCCTACTAAAAGTTAATTAAGAGACATGATATTTTAAAAAATCGGACAATAGGCACCGAAGAAGGGCAGAGCAAGCTTCCGTTTTCACCCGGACGCGTGGATTCTATGAAATTGGGGAAAGACTTTTTTTAAAGTTTATTAAATGTTTTTTAAACAAATGGGTTTGATCAAGGCTTTTCAGATTTAAGTGTCAAATTGTTGGAATGCTTTTGGTAGTGGAACGTGGTGCTCATTTTATTTCTTGAAATGAAATTGTATGGTTCAGATTGCGTATTTGTATTTATTTATTTTATTTTTTTTTAATTATAATACATCGAGTTTTGATGCAAACAGAAACCGTATGAAAAATCTTTGTTGTTAAATTTTATATTTTTACATGGTGTCAGAGAGCACGAAACTCTGCCAAGATGAGGACAGTCAACTGGTTGATCCAATGTCTGGTCGCATGCACTTCTATGGCATTCCTGGCCTGTGCCGAGGATGTGATATGGCGCGAGGGCTATCAGGGACATGGCACCGTTCACGAGCAAATCGGCCAGCCCCATGTGCCCGACCCTATGTTCAGCGAGTACGTGACGAAGCCAAGGTATAGAAACGTGACCAAACTGAACCGTATGACCTTGGGTCCGGTCTACATTATAGCAAATGGGCTTCTTCACCTTTTTTATAAACCCGGCAAAGTGCAATTAAGTGGTGGGTATATATTGATATATGCATACAGCTGGAACATCTAATTGATTTCCCTATTCTGTAGATTATATTACGATTTCGAACGGCAGCACCTTAACCATAGAGCGCAAGATGAAAGCGAACGAGTGGAAGGATCTGCTTGCCGCCAACAAGCTGCTAATATTATGGTTACTGTTCTTCCTGTTGCTCATGTTGGTCATACCGATCCTTGGGTTAGTCAAATAGTTGTCCATTTGCAGAGAGTAGAATCTAATTGAATCCAATTACAGTATATTGTATTGTTCCTTTTGCTGGTGTCGCTGCAAACGAGGCTGTCCGCCGTGCACATCGCAACGAGATGCCAAGCTGCGTGTGGTGCTCAGTGTAATCATGGTAATCCTGCTCATTGGATTGATGTAAGTCTGATATGTCGGTGTCGGTAGTGGGATACGTTTCTTAATCGTCGCCAGTGCACACAGAATTGGGACCCTCATTGCGTTCCTTGCCAATAAACAGATCTGTCGAGGGATGCGCTCTGCCAAGGAGAAACTGAAGTCCTCCGGCGAGGATACCTGCACATTTCTCAGAGATATCTCCGATCACATAGACCATTTGGTCATCACCAATTATCATGAGCTGAAGGAGCACCTCGTCGAACAGGCAACTGGTATGCAAATAATTTCATCTATGCAGAGCATCTTGTGGCCCCGTAAAATATATGTAACAGATTTACCTGCCATATCATAAGATCTATGCCTCTGCATATTGTATTCTACGTTCTTTCTTTATTCATTTTGTTCATATAATGCGATCCCCGCAGATGCGTATAAACATCTATTTTTGGATCTGGCTGATACTTCCGATGGGAATGCGTTGGTCGATTTGGAGCGAATATTGCAAAACATGCGAGCGGCGCGAGCAAGAATGAAGTCGAATATATGGAACGTGGATAGACTTATGTTCCTTGTCGCCAATTTCCGGGATGGTAAGTAAATAATTCATATACTCAATCTATATATACTATATAGCTATTTTTTCGACTGAGTGTCTGTCTGATTAACTGACTGATTGACTTACTGATTGACTTACTGATTGACATGCTGATTGACTGACTGAGTGTCTGACTGATTGACTCACTGATTGACTGATTGATTGACTTACTAATTGACCGACTGAGTGTTAAACTGACTGACTGACTGAGTGTCTGATGGTATGTCTGACTGATTGTTTGACTGACCGAGTGACTGATTATCTGACTGAGTGACTGATTGTCTGATGGTATGTGTGACTGACTGACTGAGCGAGTGTCTGACTAATAGTCTGACTGACTGAGTATCTGATCGACTTTCTAAAAGTTGAAGATTGACTGATTGATGGAACCGACGACGTAGTAAATCAAGAAAGTGAATTTCTTCAAAATAGTGTGGAATCTAATCTATCTATTGTCTATTTAATCTAGCCATGCGTTACTACTATCGTGAAACGTATCGCGGATTTATCATTTTATGCCAAAAGCCACAGTGCGATGAGAAAATGCTGTCTTTTGGCTTTCAAACTTTTGCCACCAAATGTATGCATTTGGATGGGGTAAGCACTTCAGATCAATTATAAAATATTGAAAATATAATTTGTTGTTTTTGTTTTTAGTTGCCCAACTCAACCAAGTTTTGGCATGCAATGGATGAATCAGTTAAACTTAACTTAGACAATATACCGAGGCTAGGTATAAAGCGCCTATGGGAAATTGGTGAAAATTTAAAAAAAATTATGGATCCAACTATTCCGCCTCTTATTGCAAAATTAGATCGATGTGGTGACCTACTCATACAGCAAAGGGATGAATTAAAGAGAATTATTGGCGAGATGCTACAGAATGCTCACGATAAAACGATAAATTCTGAAAAATCATTAGATAACATTCTAACCAACTTTGGTCGCGATCGCACTGCTATCAATATTATTGTCTGCTTCACCTTAATGCTGGTAAGTCCTTGAATATCATAAAGAACATGACAGTCCCATTGACCCCTTTGCCAACGACAAATATCATTTCAGTGTTGCCACCCTTTCGTGTACACATGTGGCAGCATCGAAAGATGTTTGTTAACAAGACACAAATAAGAATTACCCCACCCTCGAAATCGGTTATTATCGAGATAATATTGTGCTAACATTGTCTGTTCAGGACGGGTTATTTTTCACGAGCTCGCGAAAAAAAATATATATGTATTGTGAATACAACTGTTAAGATTACCATAAGTTTTATTGATATATCGATAACGAAATAAGCGATGAATGTATCGATATATGGATAATAATCGAATTGTGCAAGCATCGGTACTATTGGCTACGACTTTTTACCGTTTTAACTGCGCGAACGTGTTGTGTGTTGATTTCGTGATGAATATATTACCTGGTCATTTCAGATAGTTTTGATGTTGATAATTGGCCTAGTATGGGGCATGTGTGTGCGTGCAAACAACGTGGGATCTGGTGCCATGCTAGTGTAAGTAATTGATTGCCAGGCTGCCTTGGCGCTTGGCGCTTGGTCCACAAGTTGAGAGACATTGTTATTTGAAGCATTTGAAAAAACTTACAGATCCGTTCTGCTGATATTTTGCGTGTTCTCGTTTATAACGATCGTTGGGCTATTTTATTTTATGCTTGGATTTCTCACATACAATGCTGCCTGTCGGTCGGATATTACCACAACGAACAGCTTCATGGATTCCGGGATCAAAGTACCCGATGCCAATAATATGCCGGACAGAGATGCGATGAACACGACAACGACAATTTCATATAATGTGTTCGAGTGCAATAGGAATGGAACCATTTTCGATTTGTTGAAAGAAAAGGGCCTATACGATGTCCAGAAATTGAAGGGCCTCCTGCAAATAGACGAGGGAGAAACAGACTTTAAATGGCATTCATTTAAAGGCGATTTGTCAAAGGTGGCGCTGATAACTTCCAGAGAGATGCGTTTGCTTTATAAAGTCCTGGGGCCATTGTTTTTTTATCGTAGCAATTTATACACGGATGTTATGTGTCTGCCATTGACGAGCACTCCTTTACAGGAAATGGACGATAAGGTGGTTACAACGGGTTATAGCTTAATTTACAACTTTTTTAAGGGCCGGGCTGACCTATCAAGAATGTGGATGAGCTCTTGTAGCTATTTCACACTCAGTCGTGATATTCAACCATTTAAGGAAGTAGAAGCTGAAGTTCCAAAATATATTGAAAAAATCAAGAGCAACTTGGAGGTGATCGATAAACTTATAATGACCGAAAACGTTGATTTTAATGAAACCTTTCAGCCAATGATTGAGGCAATAATGCGCTCCCAAGAATTCATAAACAACAAGGGCGTCGAATTTATTGAACATCTAGGTAAAAATTTAACTGGTTCAATTTCCGACCAATTGGACAGTTATATAAAAATGATTATCTACGAGCTCACTCTTCACGTTGGTCCCTGTAAGCACCTCTCCGATCTCTATACCAACAGTCTTGAACACATTTGCCAGCATCTAATTGACCCGATCGTAAGTAGCCAAGCTTCATCCATTTCTATCTCATATTCATTAATATCTGATCAATTGCAGAATGCATTCTGGGTGGGCGTGCTGCTAAGCGCCCTATTGCTCCTCCCGATCCTGTATGTGGCCCATCGACTGATCTGCCTCTATAGGGTATATCCAGTGTATGTGGCCAAAATCCTATATCTGGAGCGAGAAGGTTACCCGTAAGTAGTCTCATTCGATTACAAACTACGACTGACCGTAACGATCTGATAATCTTCCTCAGCTGTCCGACCTGCTCAGGCCTTCCATATAGGCCCAATCCGATCATCATCTGCGGCGGAGGCCAACAAGATGGCGGCGAGTGCCCGTGCATTGACACTCCAATCCAAATATCTGGGTTGGGTGCAACACCCGGCAACGCCTACAAGAGTAAACGAGAGTAGGTTCGTATTGACAACACAATTTAAATTATTGTTAAATATACGAATTTTTGTTACAAACTGTGGCAAATTTAAATGTTTAAGTTAGGTATTTACGCTCATGGCCTAGTATCAGCTACAGGTGTTTATTCATTTTGTGGCAGGTATGAATGCGCATGCCTAAATACCTGCTTAATATTTCTAAGTTAAACCAAATCGATATTATGGAAATGAGATAGATATTCGGATTAACAAAAATGAAAAGCTCTTTCTGCGCATAGATATATAAAAGCCAGTATTTCTCGTTCGTATTGTTTCACAGAGAGTTAAGTGAATCTCGCAATTACAGAGTTATATATCAGATCAACTATATATATTCCATCGTGTCATTTTAATTTGAACGATTCTCGATCTAGCGTATTCAATGATCATCTTATTTGATCCAAAGATTTCCCCACATTCGATAGACTTGAGTTAAATATTTATATGGAAAATATATTTTCGTATTGTTTTTTTGTTTTCTTGAGATTTGTACCTTGGCTTTGTACCAGGTATTTTCCATGCTTCTTTTCTTCACATGATGCAATAAATACAATTTCGTTAAGATTACAAAAAAATGTAAGAGCGTTAATTATTGTACAATAGAGAAAGAGTTAAGAAAACTTAAATATCACAGAATCGTAGCTATATAGTATATAGTATATATATGCACTAGGTATTATCAGAAGAGCTCTAAACTAAAATGTGTGCTTGGAAACATGTTGTGTTGTGCAGCATATCCATAAGGACATAAGGACAATTGTGTAATATGAATCTAGAATAACGATGACAAGAAATAGCTCTTAACTAGGTCTTAAACTATAACGCCAGCTGGCCCGCATATGGATGTGCTCCAGTTTTGTGATTGAGCTGGTTCATACTGTGTCGAGATGAGATTGTGGTCCGTCTGTTTATCGGGCTTGAACCGCAGCCGCTGCCGTTGCCACAAACGGGGACGATCGATGCTGTTGCAGTCGCAGCAAATCCGGCGCACTGTAAATGTGTAGACTGCTGGAGGATTGGCTCGACGAGGCGGATTGTGAACTCGAGGCGGAGATAGCAGCGGCGGCAGCGGCTGGTGCTATTGCACGCAGCTGTAGCGTTGGCTCGCATAGCGCTGACGTCGCCGTAGCAGCAGCAGCAGCGGCAGCGGCAGCTGCTTCGGCAGCCGACGTGGCAAAGCTGACATTGCGATTGACTCCGTTCGCCTTGTCCTTGTTGTGGCGCTTCACGTGCTTGGACAGATGATCGCTGCGCATGAACTTCTTTGAGCAGACGCCGCACTGGAACTTCTTTTCGCCGGTGTGCGTGCGCTTGTGCCGCGACAGCTCATCGGAGCGAGAGAAACGCTTGTCACAGTTCTCCCATTTGCATATGAACGGACGCTCCCCAGTATGGACGCGCTGATGTGCCTTCAGGTGGCTGCTCTTGAAGTAGTTTTTGCCGCAATCGGGAAAGCTGCACTCGTAGATGCGGCTACGTGTCGCCGCCGCCTGGGCGGCTGTAATGCGTTTGCCCCCCAACGAGGACAAGGCTGGCGATGCGGATGAAGCTGGAGACTGGCTTGGTAATTGAGGCTGCTGTGCACCGGCGGCGGCGGCGGCAGCGGCGACGGCAACGGCAACATTGCTTAGCAGCAGCAGCTGAGAGTTTGCAGCAGGTGCTGCAGCTATATAGACGCTCGTCGCGGACGCTGGACAGGATGTGTTGTTTTGCTGGTCTGTTGCTGATGATGGTGCGCTGCATGGTTCCACTGTAGTTGGTTTTGTTGTTGCCGTGGGCAGTGCCACCTCAGCGGCACGTTTGCGATTCATTTTGTATTTGAGATTGCGCCACACATTCTCCTCTGGATAGTCATCGGCAATGGGTGTGCCGAGTGCGCCAGTGTTGGAGCAGCTGGAGCTGGAACTGTTCTCCTCATTGGTTGAGGAGCTGACCGTGCCCAGGCTATTGACGCGCATAATGACACTGACGCGTTGTGCCAGTGCATCCTCCGCCTCCTGTTCCTGTTCATGCTTCAGCTGCTGCTGCTGCTGATCGGGTGGAGGCGTTAACGTAACCGCCGGCTGTTCCAGCCGCGCCTTTTTGCATGGCAGCACATCGGCGGCATCGTCCTCCGTGTCCGAGGGATTGGGTGTTATGATGCCGGCGCCATTTTTTTGACTCTTCTGATTGGCGACCAGTTTTAGCTTGGCCTTCAGTAGATTCTCATTGACCTGTTGTTTGTCCTTGGCGGCCTAAAAGGTGACCGAGAGAGAGAGAGAGAGAGAAGGAAGAGTTCGATTAGCAACGGGTTCAATAAACACATTCACTTTTACCCTGCCTGAGTTGACCTACAATAACTTTTTGCAGCGGGTGCAAAACCACGAAAATTCGGCGTCGACGTCGACGTTGGCGTCGGTTAACAGCGACAAGGCCGTTCACATTTAACCTTAACCCGCCGCAACGGCCCCCACGCGAATTGAACTGAGCCCAGCGCGGGGTTAATGCACGTCGCAAGTTTATAAATTTTTGTATACCCTGCACACAGTTCGGTCGGGTTATATGCACGCAAAATAACAATGACGCATTGAAATGTTCGCAAACTGTGTACAGGGTAGCTACCGGTCGGCTACTCTCGACCATGTCATTTACTGGTTTTTGAACTTTCGAAAGACTTTTCGGCCATAAATGAGAAGAATATTTTTGCATTTGCGCCGCAGCCCAAAAGCATGCATTAAAAATGGCGCTGCCTTCAATGATTTTTATGGGCTCGGCACGTTGCTAAGTTTCTGTGTGCGTGTGTGTGTGTGCGTGTACGTGTTTTGTTTGTTTGCTTGCGGGCCAGATAAGCCGAAAGCGAAAAAATGTGACATATTTTATGTGAGACGCTGCAGTCGACGTCGGTGCCTGTCTGGGGCTTGGCTGTGTTTGTTTTTGTGCCGTTTGCCTTTTATAATTGGCAACTCACCTTCGCGCGCTCTCACAAACTCAGACACACACACACACACAAACACACACGCACGCTAATGCTCTCAAACAAATGCGCTCGTCTGACTACGTCAGCAGAGACGCTCTCTTTGACGCGCTCTCAGCAACACACAAGGCGCGCAAATATAACTACGACATCTCCACATTGCTGTGGAGTCCAATGTTCGCCCTGTATGTGCATGTGTGCGTGTTTGGGTTTGTATCACTCGTTGTGCATGCGGTGTTCACGTGAAAGCGTGCCCGCTGCGTGATCGCATAGCGCTACACTAGAGCGAACGAGATGCGAGACTTTTGTTTTTAGAAATGCGGCGAGTGCAAGCGAGCGGGCACTACACTTAATGGTTTGCCTTGCCATATATATTTTTTTTGTTGCGTGATTTGTCAAAAGCGAAGGCGTCTCCACTGTCTGGGGGCACGAAATAAATGCGGGAATTCGCTGTAGCTGTATATATGTACATATATGTGTGTGTGTGTGTGTGTGTGCAGGCTGCATTTTTCGCATTTAATTTTAATTAGTTTGCACTGCACTAATTTACACACATTTACACGCTCCACTTTGTAGGTCAATCTCTTTAAGCTCTGAGTCACTTGGACTTACGTTTTCCACTTTGTTATCCCGAAGCGGGGGCGTTGCAGGCGGCGACGGCAGCAGCAACGTATCCATATCCATTGTGTATGTAGCTAATATTATTTAAATTTTTTATTGCACTTTGCACTTGTTCAACTGTCTTTGGCACCTGCACAGAGAGTTACTGCAGGGGCACTGGAGTCTGTTTGGTTTGGCTTGTTTTTCTTTCTTTTAATTTTTCTTATCACTTATCTAAATCTGTGTGAGCACTTTTTGATTTACACAAGATTTTTAGGCTTTTTTATAAAGTTTATTTTTTTTTTTTAATATTTCACTAGATGCGGCTGCTTGAAGAGAGCCCGAGTGAGCGAACCGTAGCGTTCAGAATTCAACAGACGAATGAACAACATACAGACTGCGAGCTTCCACCAGACCATCGCTGTCGCAGCGCGCGCACACACTCACACACGCATACGAGCTGGTGAGAGTGTGAGAGTGGGAGCGCATGCTGTCGACGTAATCACTTGCAAGTGTACTCTGCTGTGGTAGCCGAAACGCGCGGGGGTGTGCCGGGCGTTTGTACAAAAATCGTCATCGAATATGTTGGCGAAGCAACCAGTGCATTGGAACCCAGCGGAGGACATAACTGCGGCTGTAACTGGCCATGTACGTATTTCGGCATCAGGCAGTGACAACGTGGGCAGCTCTTGATAGAGCGGGGCGCGTGTCACGTCTCGAGCACGAAGCACAATTCACCAAACACGACCTTTCAAAAATGAAGTATAGGATACAGTTACAAACTTTTGAACTTCACTTTTTATTTGAGTAAGTGAAATTTTTCTTTTCTACTTCGAATTAACAAAAAATTTAATGTTAACGCCCCTAAAATTTCGGTGCTAATTCGTGCTCGTGATAAGGCGTGCATATTTTAATAGACTTGTATTTTGTAAGCCGATTGAGGCTCGTGTCACGAAAGCTAAAACGACCCGCTCACTACTCTAGGTATTTATAGTACGCCCCCGCGGCGCTTAAATATGGCCGAAGCGTAGGGGCTGTGTGTTGGCGGTAAAAGGTCAGGTCTGTGCCCACGCAGGGCCCTTAGCAGGCAGAAGGTAGCGACAAACACACAAAGAGCACGTAACAAGCGCATGGACGTCATCAGCTGTTTACCTCACGGCTCTCGGCCGCGGGGCGCTCGGGGGAAAACACAAAATTTCATTGGAGCTATCTATTCATAGCTGTTGTTCATGCACATGAAGCGTGCACAGCAGAGGCAAAAACAAATACACACAAATAACACACACACACACACATATATATTATACGTACATATGTATGTATGTATGTATGTAGTGAGAGGCACACACAGACACACCCCGAAGCCATGGTTGAGTCTGAGGCCCGGCCATACCATTGACGCCGCCAAAGCTGAAGCTGCGGCTGACGCATTTGTTGCTACGGAAGTTCGTGATTAAGCGCTTAAGGCAGAAGAAGAAATAAACACAGCAAAAAAAAAAAAGGCAGGCTTGAGCTTGGACTGGTCAGTGGCTTTGTCCAGACAGACAACACTTTGGATCGGCATTAATATATCGACTTTACTGCATATATTTGCATGTACATTAGCCGCATTGTCCGACATGGGGGCAGCTAACACACATCAACATTTGTGCAAAAGTCCAGACGCAGACAGATTTCATTAATGGGCAAATGGCCAAACCCGTACGGCGGGGTGTGGGGTCTATGGCTACGCTCACCAGTTGAGCTCACCGCGTTGCCAGCTGCAAAGCAAATCGAGCGCAAGTAAAGCCAAATAATGTTACTTGATGACAGTTGACTTGATAATTTAATGCCCACGCTTAGCGGCTTGCTACTCACAATTCGTCAAGAGTTAGTCAAAGGCATTTGAGTCTGGCAACGCTGGCCAAGCCCGTAACAGTTTCTCACAAGCAAAAAGGGGCTCGTGCCACTCACAGACAATCAGCGGAGCGCCAGAGAGCAAAAGCAAAAAAGAGAGAGAGTGAGAGAGAGACACCCATCAAACAGCTGTGACTATTTTGTATTGTGGCGCTCTTGCGCAACAAAAACAACAACATGGCGGGAGAAAAACTGAAACTAGCACGCCATACAAAACACGCGCGAGAGAGTATTATCATTCTGTGTATCACGCGTTGACCTCATGATGTTCACGTGAACATTTGTTGATACTTGCCAGCCCAGCTAGCAGCTAGTATGGGCCGCTGCGAGCGGTCGGGCAGGTGGACGGTAGAAGGCGGCGTGCCTATTTCACTATTTATGGCTGCTTGTACATATGTGTGTGTGTGTGTGAGAGAGACTGAGTGTTGCGGTTGGGGGTGTTTGTTGTTGCGTGTTTTGCTTGTTATTGGAAACGGAATTAAAATTTGTGCGGAACTCAAGTGCAATAATAATGAAGCGTGGGCGTGTAAATGGGCTAACTCTGCTTCTTCGTGCTGCAGCGCAAATTTGGTTGAATGCAAAGTGCGCAACGCAATTGAAGCCTGTTCCATCATATGGAGAGGTGCGGCTCGCCCATGCAAATTAAATAAGCATACCAACATAGATTTGGTTACATGCGTGTGTGTGTGTGTGTGTGTGTGTCCATTGTGCTATGTACGTTTTAATTTAATCAGCACTACGAAGGGCATCTAAAATTAACAATAATTCCGGTTCCAGGCAGCAGTTCAAGTTCAGTGTGGGACTGGTACGCTTTTTGCCTTGATATGCATTTGGCAAGCACCTACGTAGCAACTGCAAGCTTCACCAACCCTTGAACCGTAGGGGGGACCACCCGGTGCTCACAAACCTACGCACATTCACAAGTGCACGTAGGCTGCCGCCGCCAACGCAAAGGGTTGCCAGACAGGGTGAGATGGACTAGAGCGCGCAAGAACGAACATGTAAGAGAGAGAGAGAGAGAGAGCTAACGCCATTTGAGAGCTTGCGCATTGACGTAACCTGATGTAATGGTTACGTAGCCTGCTCTCGATGACGTCACACGCAGTTTCCTCCTGTTGCTCCAAAGGTCAAACAGAGAAGCAACACGGCCAATGACGTCGCAGGGCCAACGGATGACGGTTCAAGGCCTCTGCCATATGGCTTATTAATGAACTCGAGCTTTCTGGGTATTTCTTTTTCTTTTTTTCTTTTTTTGTGCCCCCAGCAGCGTATAATGTTATGTGCTGGCTGTTTGTGTCTTTTTCCACGCTTGGACGTCAATCACAGGTGAACGTGACGTCAGCTGCTAAACGGAACATGTACACAGTGAGTGCTCGATCTTGTTATTGGACATGCCATTAACTTTCTGGCAAGCCTGTCCGAATCAAAATTCTTGTGTCTAAAATCCGGCACGGCAACACCATACAATTTCCAAATGTTATTTTCACCAATGTCCAAGTCATTCACATTTCGCTTTTCTTTCGATTTATTGCTGTTGCTGTAGTTGTTGTTGTCAATTTTTCTTGGCATCCGAATGCGAATGGGTGAATGGGTAAAACCCCCAAACTTGTCTTTGCCGCGCTTCGTTTCACACGCGCCACACAAAATGCTGCTCAAAATTTGCCCCCATGACGTCATGCTCGTGCCCAGCAGCAGCGGCAGCAGCTAACTCGTGACAATGCAGCGCGACACCCTCCTGACCACACCTGAGATACAATAAATAAAATTTTGTTTAGCGAAATTAGAAATAAATCAATTTGTCGAGCGATAACAGCTGCTCAAGTAAACAAATAGTTGTTGGCTCCATCCAAAATTGTACCATTTCAGAAAGTTAGGTTAGGTTTTGGAAGATGATATAGAAAAGAAAGAAGAAAAAGAATTTAATCTTCATTTTTATTTTCTCGTTTAATTGTTTTCCTTATCCAGCTATACCTCTTGTTCTCTTCTTCTTTTCTCAGAGTGCCCAACTTCTATTTACAAAAATACATACATATACCTATTGCTTTACAACACTGGTTGTTGTGGCTGTTAACTTTGGAAAGTTACACAACATTTTTTGCTTTTTAAATTCTTTGCTAAGGAACTAAACAGGAAATTTTTCAATGTATAGCTCATCTTTTAGGAAAATTGTACATTTAACTATGAATTTAAGGTATAAAAAATAATATTTTTTCGATAACAATTTCTAGCACTGCAAAATTTGGAAGTACGCTCTGTTTGCTCTGTATTTGATTTTTGTACACCTAAATAGTTGCCCATTTGTTGCTTACTGCAAAATAACTGCCCCTCTGACATATCATTTGGTTGCGCCCGCCCCCGCCCACGCCCCGCGTCCCGAAAAACAGTCTAATCCCCCATCTGGCTGGGGCCTACGTGCCGGCTGACGCGTTGCGCACGTCTATCTCTATGTAGAGCTCCACGCCAAGAGAACTTTACTTCACATTTTGGATTCAATCGGATGCAGGCTCTGCGTATGGAATATTGTTCTCAAATGAAAGCGAAGGCCATTTACATGTGCCCCGTGGAAATTTACGTACAAGTTTTTATTTTTTGTTTTTTTGTTTTTCACCCAGCTGCCAGAACAGAAGATGATAATGATGATGATTCTGTTCGCCTTGGCATGGCATTCCCCTTTTACCTGGTATTCTGGTATTCTGTGTGCGGCATTATTCTGGCTTGCCCGCCGACCTTGGCCCAGTTCCTGCCCTTGCCAAATCCACCAACTGAACTTGAAAGTTGTTGTCCATGGACAACAGGACGGAAGGCGACGACGACGACGACGACGACGACGACGACGACGACGACGACTTGGTCGACTGACCCTGAACCGGTTCATCTGAACGCCTTTAATGGGGCAATGGCAGTTGGCTTTGTTATTTCTTCTTTTACTTTTTTATATATGCATATGTATATATATATTTTTTTTTGCCTATGCCAACATCGTGGCCATCATCATCATGTTCGTCATCATGATGATCATTATTATAAGCAGTCGGGGGAATCGTGAGTAGTCTCAATGGGAAATCAACAAACATCATCAATAAGATCAAACGGAATAAAAACAAAGCCAACAAGTACTTGACCGACTGCGCAATACCCTGTACACAGTGTTAACTTGATGACTTTCAACTGACTGTCAACAAATTACAGTTGCTTTCAAACTGTGACGTCAGCAAATCTCGACTACAGTTGAGGTCACGATTAGTTCGCCCCTAGTGGGCGTGGCACACACTCATTTCTTTCTTTTTTTTTAACGGACGATAAAACTAACTAACTCTCGTTCACTTAGAGTATAGGGTATTTAAAAAAA